CACAAGCACAATACAGACAATACAGAGTTACAAACAAAGTGGTAGGGAATTAACAATGGTGGTTGTATTACATATTTACTGTTCTGTTTTTTGTTTGTTTGTTTCTCATTTACTTCTCTGTTTAAAATAAAATAAAAGAATGTGCTGTGTCAGCAACAGTGTGGAAAAGTAGACTGTCATTGTTGGTCCAAATGCCCATTGCTATAACTTCTGTGGAGGATAACTTCGCAATATTTTAAAAGGTAAAAAAATACATGTAGTCCTTCGCTCAGCAATTTTGTGTTCATCGTTGTTTGCAAAAAGATTGGGAATATCTAGTGCCCCTCAAGTAGAGATTGGCTTAGAAGAGAAAGTATCTTTTTAGTGTACTGATTATAATGACCAGCAATTTATATTAAGAATAGCTCTAGAAATATATACAGGAAACTGATAACAGTAGTTGTCTCTGGGATTGGGCAGACTTACTTTGCATCTTTTATGCCTTTTGAATTGTGTAGTATGTGGATGTATTATCTATTTTTAAAATTTTATTAAGGAATAACTTATATAGAGTTAAACCATATTAACTTAAAATGCATACTGCAATGAGTTTAAAAAATGTAAATATTTATAAAACACCACAGTCAAGATACAGAACATTTACATCATCCCCAAAAGACTCCATGTGCCCTTTACCCTTCTTCCCTTTTTTGTCCTGGCTCCTGGCAACCTCTGCTCTGCTTTCTGTCATGAGAGATTAGTCTGCATTTTGTATAAATGGATCACACAATGTGTACTGTTTTGTATATGGCTTCTACATTTTGCACAATGCTTTTGATATTTATTTGTGTTATGCATCAATAATTGATTCCCAAATAGTGTCCTGTTATTATGAATGTTCCACATTTTGTTCATCCAGTCAACTGTTGATACATTTGGGTTGTTTACAGATTTGGCTATATGACTAAAGCTATTACTAACATTGGCTTACAAGTCTTTGAGTGGAAATAGTCTTACATTTTTTTGGGTAAATAGGGTGCAACTGCTAGATAGGTATAGGATAACTTTGAAAGAAATGCTAGTTATTCAAAGTGTTGGTACTATTTACCATTCCCAGCATGAGAATTTCAGTTGCTCTACATTTTTGCCAATTCTTGGTATTACTGGTTTTTTATTTTTATCATGGATGTGTAGTAGTGTATTAAATATTTTAAAAGATACCTTTAAATATACATAAATAATTACTTGCAGTCTGTTCCCCCCAAGCCTTTCAATAATGATATGAAAAACTTAAATGTTAAAATTTTAAAGGAGTTGGGTTAATCAGCTTTCCATTAACCATAGTGAAATACCTGAAACAATCAATTTAAAAAGAGAAAGGGTTTATGTTGGTTCTCAGTTTTGGAGGTCTGAGTCCATGGTTGGTTAGCCCCATTGCTTTTGACTCTATGGTGAGGTGGTTTATCATGGTAGAAATGCATGGTGGAGCAGGGTGCTTACCTCATGGGGGTTGGAAGCAAAAGAGAGAAAGAAAAAGACCAGCATTCCAAACCCTCTTCAAGGTCATGCTCCCACCTCTGAAATGTCTTTACTACCTCCCAGTAGTGCTGAGCTGGGAGGGAAGCATGCACCTTTGGGAAGCATTTCAGATCCAAACCATGGCAGGAGGAGTATTAGTTTTCTGTTGCCATGTATCAAATTACAACAGATTTAGCAGCTTAAAACTAAATGCAATTATTATCTCACTGTATCTGTAGATCAGGAGTTTAGGCATGGGTGTTCTGGGTGCTCTGCTCTGTCACAAATGACAGTCTAGGTTTCCATTGAGTCTATATTCTTTTATGGAGCTTGGATTCTTAGTGTACAGAATTGGGTTCCTGTGGTTGAAGGACTGAGGTCCTTGTTTTCTCGTGGCTGTCATCTTGGGTCTGCTCTCAGTTTTGAGAGATCACACGTACTTCTTGGCATGTGACCCTTTCACAGGCTTTCACAACATGGCAGCTTACTTCAGGGCCAAGAGAGACTGGAATAGAATGTAACATAATGTGGAGTCTTGTGTCTTACACCACATGAATGTCCATTAATGCCATTTTGTACTGGTTAAATGAAAGTCACAGATTCTACCCATACTCAGGGGAAGAAAGGACATAATTCACAGAGGGATCATTCAAGGGTGTGTCTGACATAGGAAGTTTACTGCATCAAATTTGGGCAGTGGTTCTCAAACTCAAGTCTGCATTAGAATCACCTAAAGAGGTCTGTAAGTAGTTAAGTCTTGGAACTTGTCCACAGAATTTCTTACTCAGTAAGTCTGAGATGGGGCTCAAGAATCCATTTTGTTAGTGAGCAGTTCATTTCTCAGATGCATCAGGGGCAGGGAAACACCAGGCTACATCTATAGAAGCAATGCCATGGAGGTTACTTCAGGAATTTGGAGAGGGACACACTTGTATCTGAGTCCTCTTTTGCCAGAGAACAAATGAGATCGACCAATTCCACTTCTCTTCTAGAAGACAAAAGGAGAGGGATGCGTATTATTTATCAGCAGAGCTCTAGAGAGGTAAAAGCCACAGCCAGTGAAAAAAAACTCTAAGGAGCAGAAAAATCCATAAGAGAGCACACCTATGATTACTGAAAGTCAAGGTTAGTAAATCAAAGTAAAACCAACTTGTGATGTGATGGTTAGTAAAATTTAAATTATGGTTCTATAATTTATTATATGTAGAACAGTAAAAAGACAATTGAGCCTCTCTGATCTTCAAAGAATACAAAATGAAGATAATAATACCTATTTCCTGGGTTTGTTATCCAGAATAAATGAGATGCTATAGGTAAAAAAATGTCAAACACTCCAGAGTCCATCAAATTCTACCTAAAAAAACTGAAATTTTTAACAGTATTTCACAATGTCAAAGTTTTTTGCTTCTCTTTCTTTTTCTTTTTTTTTTTTTTGGTCTTTTTGAGACAGGGTCTTGCTCTGCAGTTCAGGCTGGCCTTGAGCTCACTCTGTAGCCCAGGATGGTCTTGAACTCACAACAATCCTCCTGCCTCAGCCTCCTGAGTGCCAGAATTACAGGCTTTGCCACCATGCCCGGTTTGTGTTTCTCTTTCTTGATAGAGACCAATTAGAATCAAGAATGAATGATGCAATGATGGTAAGGTATAAAGCACAATGAAAGATATCAGTATATCTCTTATATTACATGAAGAGAGATAAACTTCCCTATAAGAAGAAAATAAGTTTGGAGACTGAGTTTATAAAGAAATATAACTATTTATTACCCATAAAAAATAATTAAAGCCAGAGACATTATTAAAGGATAAAATGATGAAAGTATTCTAAGTTTCTTTTTCTTTTTTTTTTTTTTGGTACCAGGAACTGAACTCAGGACCTTGTGCTTGCCAAGCAAGCGCTTGTGCCACTGGGCTACATCCCTGGCCCTAAGTTTTCTAATGAATACATAAAAACAGTATCAAATAAAGCAGATTTTGTGCTCACAAAGGGCAGTAGCATACATTAACAATGAATAACACACAATTCTGAAGTTTTAGGTTCCAAGTAATGTAATAATAAAGACATACCAAAAGCTGGTAAAAATTAAAGAGAAAATAAAAATACCATTACACTTAGATTCCTTGGCGCTTCATTACATAGCTAATTTTCATTTTCAAAAGAAAGGAATAGAACAAATTAAACCATGGATGAAAAAGGAAGGCAATTTTTAGGCAATCATATTTTTAATAGTCATTGCAAAGTCAGTGAAGTTTAATATTTTTCCTTATTCGATCATCACAGTTAGATGTGGAGTTTTTTTTTTTTTTTGGATATGTGGAGATTTTTTATTGTCACATGAGAAAAGCTTTGTAGTTAACCTGAAGCTCTGATATCATACTTATCCTTATTCGATCGTCACAGTTAGATGTGGAGATTTTTTTTTTTTTTTTTGATGTGGAGATTTTTTATTGTCACATGAGAAAAGCTTTGTAGTTAACCTGAAGCTCTGATATCATACTTACTAGAGATGCATGAGGGCTCTTCTCCTCAAAGGTGGAACAGGAATTCTTTCATAGCTGTTCTTCTTAACTGGCTATTAGAAATGGTGGTAAAAACTATTTGGGAAAGACATAAAAATATATGATGAAAAATAGTACTTCAGTGGAATGATTATATGCTTAAGTGTTCCAAGAAAATCATCCCCTAAATGACTATAAATAATAAATGAGTTCAGCAAAGATGTGAGCCAAAAGAAACCCACATAGAACAATTATATTTCTGTCAGTGAAATATAGCTGCTTCTTAATAAAAATGCAAAAAAAGAGAAAGATTCCATTCATAACCACAAACCAAAAATAAATTGCTCAAAGATTTTCCTTGAGCCACAAGATTTAGCCCAAGAAAATTATTGAGCCATAACAGGAAAAGGGAAGAGGTTGTGGACAGCTGGAGAGGTATACCAGATGGTTATAGGAAAAACAAAATCCAATAAATGTGTTTCAAAGTTAATGGATTAATGGATTTAATGCAATATCATTAAGGCCTAAGAAAATAATTATAAAAACCAAATAATTCGTATCAATCTTAGATATTAGGAAAATATAGAACTTTACCACAGGATTTCAAATGGATTACCAAAAGCCACATTTATCAAAACTTTAGTTTTTTAAATAGAAAAACAATCAGCATAACAAGTCCACTCACTAGAGTACAGTGTCTTAAGTTGAAAAGGACCAGCTCCAAATTCAAAACTATTCTTCCTATAGATAGCTCCAGCTCGGTGAGTGGCAAAAGCCCTACTGGGGGATGGATTCGGCTTGTCTCACAAGGTTTAATGCGCTGGCTATTTGGCTCTCACTGCGCCGGTACTGAGCTGCTGGCATCTTTAAGAGGCAGGGCCCAGGTTATTGAAGGTGCTGTCTTTGGGAAGGGAGAGAAGTCACTCTCCTGTGACCCCTGGGTGCTTTTTGAGACCGAGAGCTGTGTACGGCTCTCTAACTTCCTGCTTGTCAGTGTAATCACTTCACACACGGAGTCCCGCTGCTGCCACCCATTACCATGTGAGGCAAATGGGAGGGCCCTTGATTGAAACGAGCTGATGCAACAGCCATGCCCCAGCCTCCAAAACTGAGATAAATCAACCTCTGACTTTATAGAGCTAAATTGCCTCCAGCAAGCAGACAGATATAACTATCCTTCCAATGACCTGGCCACAGTTGATGTACTCCTCCTGACTTTCTTTCAGTCTCCACACTTGAGAGGTCAAAAATAGATTCAGAATCTACCACCTCCAGCACCCTGGCCTAAGCCACCATCACCTCTAACTGACCTGCCCCACTGTCGCTCTCCTGTTGTCCTTCTCAGCTTCATAGCCACCGTGGCCCTTGGCGAGGTTTTAAATCTTTCCTGTCGTGCAAAATCACCCAAAGGTTTCCCATCTTCCTCTGAATAAATGCCAAAGGCCTTGCAGTGCATGACTTGACCCTACGAGATCTACTCCTTCCCTCACCTGTCTGATCGCCCCTCCTCTCCCCCACCCCCTGCAGCGGCCACCCTGAGCTCTTGGTGCCTCTAGCACGCCAGGCACCTTCCTGATACTGGAGCTTGATGTGCCTGCATACTTGTTTTTTTCTGTCGGAGCCCTCTTTCCTCCAGACTTGTGTGTGCTTGTTCCCTTCCCTTTCTCAGTCTCGTTCAGAGATGTTATCTCCTCAGTGAGGGCCTCCTAAGCTCCTTTTGACAACCTCAGCTTTCCACTTCTCTGTCAGCCTCCTTCTCACTCCTTGCTGTCTTACTTTTTATTTACATATTACCTATTTTTAAAATTGCTTCCCCACTACCAGAATTTTACCTCCAAGACAGTATGATTTTCTGTTTGTTTGTCTATAGCTTATCCTTAGTGGTTAGAACAGTGCCTGGAACACATTAGGTACCAAGTCCGTGTTTTGTGAAATAAATTAATGAAGGAAGTTAAGCAGAAATTCTTGTAGCACAGCTGTTTTATTTTATAAACTTAATTTATAAAAACGCAAAAAAAAGCACAGTAATGCAGAATGATTTCACTGCTTGCTAACTCTTGTTTGAGCAATAGAATAACAGAGAAGTGACTATCTTAGAATAATACACATCATCTTTAATAATATCCTTCAGAAGATTAGAGTAAAACCTATTCTAGTATTTTTTTAAAAATGAAAGAAAAATAGCCTGGCCATTTCATACTTAAAGGGGTCATACATATGGCTATTAAAGATATGAAAAATATTATTAAGGACAAGATAGAAAAGTATGGACATATCTAGATTACTATGACATTTATAGTTGATACATATAAAACAAAGCTGTAGAAATTAAAGATATGTGAAGAATATTAGCTTATTTCAGAATAGGAAAGATCTGATACAAATGTGTAGTGAGTGTCTTGGACTCCACTTTATAAATTGCCAAAAAGTGTTACATAGTTTATTCCCACATAAAAAGGAAGAACAATAATTTCATAGAAAAATATACAGTTTGAAAACAAAAAGCTGGGCATTGTGGTGCACACCTGTAATCCCAGCACTCGGGAGCTTGAGGCAGGAGGATTGCTGTGAGTTTGAGGGCAGTTTGGGATACACAGTAACATTGTGAGTTCAAGGCCAGCCCATACTATGTAGTGAGACCCTGTCTCAACAACAACAAAAAATTAAAGAAGCGTATTCAAACAACTCAAACGTATCATTCTAGAACTATCAAAAGAAAAACAAAAATGATAAACTTCATGTTAACAGAACTGTGGGGAAACATAAACTTACATGCTGCTGGTGACAGTACAAGTTTGTACGATCTCTTAAACAAACAATAAAAGTATATGTAATAGAAGCTCTTGAAAATTTTTATATCTTCTGGGCAATTTATTCCACTTTAGGAAACTTATCTACAAGGAAGTCAATAAACTAAAATTAAGCAAACAAAAAAATCTACTTTCTACTCTGTAGAAAAGTGAAAAATTGGAAAAGACTCAAGTGCCAAGTAATAGAGGAATTTCTAAGCAAGTTTTCTTTAAAAACATGTTGGATCATTAAAAATGACAATGTAGGAGTTTCTCTTAACATGAGGGAATGTGAATGTCAACATAGTCGAACTACCACCTGATATGTTCAACTTGAAATGTTATTTTTCTGTAACAAATCCAAGAGGGGACACTCTTGGGATAAGAATTTGAATCTTTGGGACAATACACTGTCTGGAACTAATTGTACAAGATGAAAAACCACCTTACACGAGGTCATGACACCCATCAGACTGAAAAGTCTAAGAAATTCCCTGTGAGGCTTGAAGCTTGCAATTAGGATTTAATTTAGCCTCATGGATGTTATTAATCCTGCCTCACGGATACCCTTGCCCTGTAGGAAGTAGAAGGAGGACACCTGGGCAGGCAAGCTAGAAAGGGTTAGAGGCTGAGGCCAGCTTCACAGACACTGGGTGGCCACTGAGGAGGAAGGAACAAACCATCTCAAAGGCCCCATACTTCTGGAAACTAGAGAACTAGGGAGCGGTGGGCCATGGAGGTGTCCTCAGGCTACAGGAGTGGCAGATATTGAGATGGACACAAGCCGGAGTAAATGTTCAATGTTGGGGAACTCGGTGTGACCCCCAACCCCCTGCATATGATGCTGCATGCCTGAAATCCCTAATTAGAACACATGGCAAGGTGGAGAGCAGCTGCAATTTATTTGTTCAACTCCTATTCCAGGTCAACAGGAAGTGGCAGTGTTTTGCCTACTGGTGTACCAGCCTGCCTGGATTTGAATTCTGACTCTTAACTTTTATTAGCTCTGTGACCTTAAGCAAGTCAGTTAGGTTTGATTTAATTCTGTTTCCCTGGGGAAAATGTGGGACAACAATACTTCCTACTTCATAGCGTTGATGTGAGGATTAGGTGCAGCAAAGCAGGCAAAACTTCTTCCCTGGAACTCTCATCAGCTCTTAGCTCTTGTCATTCTTATATACTCAGGGTGTCTTGTCCATACAGCAAAATGGCTAGAAGCATGCCTTAGAGACTAAGGCTAAATCATGTCGGGAATTTATAGCATCAGGAGTTGTAAATTAGCACCTGGAACATCAGGACTTTATAACCAAGGGTTACTGAACCACTTGAGATTTCAATCAGACTCTGAATTTGGGAGGAGGGAGATGGAAGACCTTCAACCCATTCATTTTGGAGATTATGGTCTAGTGAGGAGGTTGGATATCCTGAGCCTTCATGTCTTAGATGTGCTGCCCGGCAGATGTGCTTTACCAGAGGCCTCGTCACAGTCAGCTTTGGGGCCCTGGCTGGAGGCACTTCCCCTTGAATTGCTTCTAGTGAGGCAAGGTTGGTCCCACTGCAGTCCTGGAACCACTGGGTAGTAGACCTTGGATGCCTTGAATCCTTCCTCCCCCGCTCCTCCCTGTGTGCAAGGCAGGTCCAGGAACATACCCAAGAATTTAGGAAGTGGCTAGTCCTTTTTTTCTTTTTCATTCCTGGTGATAGCCTGACCATTGGCTGAGGGTGGCTGGTGCCAAAATTAAATCCTGATGCTCTTGCATTTTCCCTGGAAACAATTACGAATTTTTCTGTCTGGCTGGTAGATGGGCAGGCAAGTGGAGAGGCAGAGTGAAAGACCCTGGAGTAGAGGGAGAAGTGTCTCAAGGGCATTGCTTTGAAGCTTTGATGTGTAATGATGTGTAATGTGCTGGTGTCCTCCTATATGTTCTTGAGAAAATTTTCATTAAAGAGTGACATTTAAGGCCTTTTTTGAAGCTATGTTTCTTTAAAATGTTGTGCTTATTAAGAAGCTTTTGCACATCAAGGGGAACCTCCAACAGAGGGAAGAGACAACCCACAGTGTGGGAAAAAATTTTTGCCAGCTGTTCCTCAGACAAAGGACTACTATCTATAATATATAAAGAACTAAAAAAAAAAAATCAGACCTCCCTAATTTAAAGACCTAGTCCAAAAATGGGCACCTGAGATGAATATATACTTCTCAGATAAAAAAGTACAAAGCAGCTAGTAAATATATGAAAAAATGTTCAACATAACAGGTCATTCAAGGGATGCAAATTAAAACAATGCTGACATTCCATCTCACTGCAGAAAGAATGGCTATTATAAAAAATCAATCAATAAGAAATGCTGGCAGGGTTGTGGGGAAATGGGAACACTCCTTCACTGTTAGTGGGAGTGTAGACTGATGCAACCACTGTGAAAATCAGTGTGGAGATTTCTCAAAAAACTAACAGTAAAGGTCTCATTTGATTCAACTAGTCCTCTTCTAGGTATCTTCCTGAAAAAATTAAAAGCATCAAACCACAGCGATATATGCACACCCATGTTTATAGTGGCACAGTTTGTAATAGCCACATCTTGGAAACAGCTCAAATGTCCATCAATGGATGAATGGATAAAGAAGATGGGTTTTTTTTATACAATGGAGTACTACTCTGCCATAAAGAAGGATAAGCTCGAGATAGATGCACTTTGAGGACCATACTCTTAAGTGAAATAAATAGGACACACATGTGTAAATACCACATTGTTTCTCTGATGTGAGAAACCAAAAGTGTAAATAAGGAACAAAATGTGTAATGGGTATTGTGAAATAGGAAGAAAATGTTCAAGTGGTGGGGGAACAAGAAAGGGAGAAGAGGGAAAGGAAAGAAGAGAAAGGTAATAAAATGAGAAAAGAAGGAAAAATGGAAACAAATCTTTTGTACATGGGGAGGGGAGGAAGGGTTGAACAGAGGGTAGGGAAATAGGAAAAAAAAGAAACAAATTACATCATGTACAGGTACAAATTCTCTATAATGAATGTGATCATTATGTATATCTAAAATGCATCAATAAAGTCTGATTGAAAAAAAGATGCGCTGAGATAGTTTTTAAGACAGAAGTAATAGACGTCCATATATATAGGCCTGTTTATTTATACAACAACTGTTTAGTAAGTGCTCACTGTACGTGAGGAGCCATGATAGTTGATGCAAATATAAAAGCAAATAAGGTACAGCCTT